ACTCCAAGAGATCAAAATTTTTTTAACTTGAACACCAAATTCAAAAATATGTTCGGTCGGAGTCAGTGGCGCACGACAAAAAAGTTCGGGGGGTAAAAAAGCCTTAGTAGAAAAACTAGGACCATGTAGATTTCCACAACCAACGTCGCCATACTTATACTATCTTCCATGGTTAACTTCGATCAACCAAATTGAGAAAGAACAAATCATTCGCAGACACATTTTTGAAAAAGACCCAACGGTCATTAGCCACTTAAAAAAAACTCAAATTTGTGTCATATGTCAAAAATGACATKTTATTTTGGAGAAATGTCTTATGCCATTTTCTTTGTAATGSAMMTGMRGAKTAATGTAWTGACGSTCAGTTAGAGTMATTTAAAAACCTTTTTTTTTACAGGTTTTTCCCTRTAGGTACTGGTCATCAAAAAAATCAAATTCAAATTYATACTTAAATCATTGATWCTTAAATCTGTACGGAAAATCAACAGTTAYCGGCCTACTACTCGCATGTATATATATATACAGAGTATATATACATGTATATATACAGAGCTGGAGCAATTTGGTCGGTAGTACCGGAAACAAAGTCAGCAGATTKATCAAACTAACTGGTTTAGGAGTCTGAGTAGCTGGTTCGTTAGAMTAGGCGAGTTGAATGAGATTATTAAGMTAGAGACCAATTAAGACCCTGTTAATTACTTTATTAACCAGTAACGTTAGTTTAATAGTATAGGCTGAACCATTCTCAGATATTTATCTAGACATTAGGTCTCCATGTGGGTTTTAGTTCTTAAATACAGTATACATTTAAATTAACCGAAGGAGAAATGGTAAGGAGATTAAATGAGATTTAAATGTAAAAAACATCGTTTTCGCTAAACATTGTTGAAATATACTAATTGTAAAAAGGCCAACCTAATTGGACTTTTGAGACTTGTATTTGATGTATAGTGCGGGTGGAATAAAATTATGTTTGTAACACCCCGCGCTGAATGGCTGAAGATTTCTCAACGTCTAAACCTTCTTTCGGGAAGTCTGCTTTGAAGTGCCAATATCAAAGTGCCGACACAATCAAGCCTCTGTATTGAAAACTGCAAAAACTACGTGACCTTATCTGTCTCACGAAAGAATACTTAAATACAATGCTGTGAAAATTTGCTAAATTATGGTAGATACTAATGGTGGGTTTATACACGAGAATAAGGATAAGGCATAAGAATAACGCTGAAGGAATAACGCCTAATGGGGTGTTCATAAAGCAGAATAAGGAACAATATTATTTTATTTACAGCCAATCAAATGGAAGCATAGGCTTAAAAAACAAAGGGTTGTGTGTGTTTATGTCAACATTATCGCGATAACATACCAATAAAAGCTTAATTTCACATAAATATTGTACATAAAAATGGATTTGTCCACCGACGAAGTGATAGTTCTTTTTGGATTGACAATTTCGTTTAATAACCTCACATCAAAATGTAAACACGATGTTTGGGGGTCCCGTGAGATATTGGAATATACAGGGTTGCTCATTAGTGCGTCAAAGTGCGATATCTCAGTAAATATGAACTACGAAAGTTTTTCATGTTTAAAAGGTCCACATTTTAAAATTACTTTCCAATATACGGGGTGTATCATAAACGTGTGGTAGTTACCAACTTTGGTTTTTTAAATGGAACCGCCCCTTTTTTCACTCATTTTTAGATTTGTCGTCAAATGTTAAGTTAAGTTTGTGTCAAACGTTTTACCTGAAAAATTTACGATTTCCGAGTTATTCGTAAAAATGTGAAAGTTTTGACAGCTACTGGGTTCCACAGAAATCGATGCTGTACACTACCCGCTGCGAATTTTGGAAAACAGTTTTCAGCGATTCTAACAGAACATCATGATCTACGCGCAGATATGTTTTAAATTATAAGGAAATACTTCTAAAC